TATATATATATATATATATTTTTTTTTTTACATTATTTCTGTAATGGCAAAGCTGAATTTTCAGTCTTCTACTATGATGATTTAGTACTCAATTATCAATATTACATTTTTGAAATTTTGAAAATGAGATTCATTTTTTTAAAAGTTTTTTTGGCAATGTCACTTTTGAGTGTCCTTGCATAATAAAAGTATTATATACTGCTTGTGGCAATACAATTTTCGTAACCTTAAAAGTACTTTATTTGATTTGATTTTCTTTGTAGGTGGGGAGTGAATGTACAGCGCTCTCTCCCACCTTCAATACCACGACTGAGGTGCCTTTGAGCAATTGTTGAACCCCCAACTGTTCCCCGGGCGCCGCAGCAAAAACAATGGCTGCCCACTGCTCCGGGTGTGTTTTTTTTTTTGCACTTTATTTTGTATAATTCTATGAAAGTCTTGGACATGGAGGATTCAGTCTCCATGACAATGAGTATGTGGGAAGTTGTTACCTCCAGTTCATTTTCGTCAAAAATCTTTATCAAGTCGATGGGAATGAGTTCAGTGAAGCCCTGTGAAACAGACATGTGAAACATGATCAAAACATTGCATTTCATTATAGCATATTGGCATGCAGCAAGCGTGCAAGACGAGTCCTCAAAAGTGAAGCCATAGCATCTAGATCACCCCCAGGTGACTGGCTGCAGTATAGGTCATAACCCCCGCCCTCTCCATGTAATCTAATGGGATGTGAGAAACTAAATAATCAAATTACACTTCAAATAAATTTTTTCCAAAGATGGTTTCCGTCATTTTAGGTAGTTCTTATCATGCAGATGTATGTCCAAGTGTTCGTTTTTCTTAACAAATTTGCTTTTAACTAGTTATTTGATGCTATAAGAAACATTATCATGTGGTGTCATGATTGTGAGCTTGCGATTGGGTCTGCGGGAGTTTAGGCAGGACTTTGATACCGCGGCTGCACCTCACGACACTACTGCGCAGACTCTGGCTCCAAATGACGTCATTTTCACAAGATGACAGTGGCCATACTGAAAATGTTTTGGCTTCACTTTTCTATAGTGGAAGTGTCGTCCATCTTTTTTTTACAGTCTATGGCAGGGGTCACCAGACTCGGTCCTGGAGGGACGGTGTCCTGCAGAGTTTAGTTCAAACCCTAATTAAACACACCTTAACCAGCCAATCAAGCTCTTACTAGGTATACTTGAAACTTGCAGGCATGTGTGTTGAGGCAAGTTGGAGCTAAACTCTGCAGGACACTGGCCCTCCAGGATCAAGTTTGGTGACCCCTGGTCTATGGCATGCAGCCATAAGGAATATCCAAACTTCTGCTACCACCTAGTGCCACTACATGGAACTACAGATAACTTTTTATTGCATGGGGGATTTGATCATGTACCTCCAAAAAGGCGTTCATCTGTTTCTGGACCCGGTTCACAAACCGCCACTGAATCACCAGGCTGTGCAGAGCCAAAAAATAAAAAGAGATATTTTGTTAGTATAAGATGCCATATGCAAGAATTTACAAATAGAGCAAGAGAGCAACTCACTCTATGTATTCTTTTTTGTTGTCATTGGTTACAACCATGTCTGATCCGCTTGGCTTCAAATCCACCTGATAGGTCTATAAATACATATATAAAAAAAGCCATTAGCAAAAATACCACAATAAGAAATTTTTTCATTGAAAATTACTTCAACAAAAACATATTTAGACACATAATGCTGTTACCTGTCCAAAGTTGTCCTCATCAATGCAGAACCGCAAGTCCAGTTCTGTGGGGTCGTTTTCCAGAATCCACTTGAGAGAGTTGTAGTATTCACTGTCCTACATGGTGTACATGAACATTAAACAGGAGTGAGAAAAATTTAAAAAAGTATACATGTGCACAGACACTAAATTCAGATCAATGCCTTCAAACAACATACTTCAATGAGAATTCTGTTTTATGAGGTTTCTGCACTGTTCTGCTGTGGGTTATATCTTGAAATTGGTGTGCGTGTTGGTGTGTGTGTGTGTGTGTGTGTGTGTGTGAGAACGCACCACTGACTCCATATCATTCAGTGTGATCTGTTTGCCCAGCATCATTTTATAGAATGGTCGAATGAAGAAACCTGCAAAAACAAACAAGAATACATTTCTGTTTGTAACAGGGAACAGCAACTACAAATCAAATCCCAAAACAAACAAAAATAATTATAATAACATGATAATAATACAAAAAGTGAACTATAAAAATAGAGAAAGTGTCACATGAAAATGCTACAGATCAGCTCTTAAAAAACAGGTTTATGTACCGTCTAACAGCTTTCCGTGATACACAGCCATGCCAGCCACCCGACCGATGAACTTGAAGTATGAGAGGTGATCCTCATTACAGAGGCCAGAGTTTGGATTGATCTGAAGGGTGTAGTTATCTCTGCAGACAGACAGAAGGGAGACGTTAAATGAATGAATTATGATGCCAGCTCTGCTGCGTTCTCTAATGAGTGTCAGTGGAGGAGATCTAACAACATAACAGACCAGCTCTGTAACACAAGAAGAAATGCTTGTTTTCTTTCAGAACAACAATACAGACAGAAAGACATAGATATATACTGACAGAGACAGATACATTTATATACAGACAGGCAGATATTTATAGACAGACAGATATATAGACAGAGAGACAGACATGTAAATATACATAGATAGATAGATATATACATAGATAGAACTGAAGACAGACATACAGATATAGACAGACAGATGAACAAATAAAGACAGAAAAAATCAGACAGACTGATATACAGATAGACAGATAAAAATATATAATAAACAGATTATAAAATAAAAATAAGAAATAAGGGGAAAAAACAGAACACAAGAAAATAAAATAAAACACAAAAAATTGAGATGCCTGCTCACAGCTAAATAATGTAACAACTACAAAACGCAATTAAAAGTGAAAATCAATATATTGCTTTCTGTGAAGGAGTAAACAGGATGATTTTCACATCATTTTGAACCAAAAACTCTAGGCTACAAGATCCAGTTCTCAAAAGTCTTGTGAACAAATGTTCTGTATGTTTTATGGCCTTAACTTCAAAATGTTACGTTTTTCACTAACCACGCATAAAGGTTGCTTTCTCAGAAACACAATCATGTACTGTACTTTTGGACTTTAGCCATTCATATGTTTATAAGCAGCTGAAAAAAAACACAAATGTCAGGGCATGTCAAAACACCCAAAAAAAAGGCCCCCAAAACACCCTCGGACCCCAGAGGGTTAAGAACTTAAAAGACAGGCGAAACGCCAGTTAGCTAGTCTGATCTCTGGGATGAGCACTAAAAGGAGATGCAGATACGAGGTGAGAAGTGGAGGTGGGAGGTTCAGGATTTACGTGTCAGTTCGAGCAAATCTGCCAAAGAAGCTCAAACTCGACAAAACTGAAGTGGACAAACACTTGGACACTTACGTGGCCGAGTACTCAAACAGCCCATAATAAGGGTTAAACATCTCCTTGGAGAGCAGGAAGAACCATTCTCTGGCCACGCCCCCATAGTCCAGGCCTTTCTCCGATTCAAACTCGATCCACAGACGGGCCTTCAGACTGTCGGGTTTCTTCAGGGACATGATTCGTCTGTACGACTCCTCAAAGATGTTATTCCTGTGCAGCTTCATCTCGAAACGGTTTGGAATATCTGCCTGTGGGAGAGAGAGAGAGAGAGAGAGATTCAAATAACAGAGTTGCATTCATGAAATTTGGATGAATAAAAACACAGAATAATAAACTGAAGATCACGATTAGCTACATGCTTTGAGTGTTTCAAACTTTAATATTAAGTCTAGATGTTAGTGTGACAATCATGGTTAATAAACGGCTGCGTTTCTGTCGTGTGAAGAACAATTTAACACCCAATGGGAAAAAAAAAAAGAAAATGCTCTTCACTCCTCGACAAGGATTTCACACGGAATAAATTAGAGTGTCTAGGAATACAGTATGTGACAGGAAAGAGCTCACTGTAATGTCTCTGAAAACGCTTCATTTCTTACCGGCTTCTTTAACTTCTTTCTGAAGTAATCATACTTCTGCTTGAATTCTCTGGAATATGGCACCGCCTAAAAGAAGACAAATAAACAATTGAATACATAAATGTAACATAAGGATAACAACAAATCCCAACGAACAAGCAAGAAAACAAACAGGAGTTTGGAAATTATTCGAAATGTTTTCAAAAGAACATCTGATATATATTATATAGTATATTTGTATAAATATCACAAAAACACATTCTGGCCAGGCCATATTTCAAATTAGTATTTTGAAAATTAATTTGAGTGAATTAATACATTTTTTTAAATGCATAAACATTTAGAATGAAAATGGCCTCTATTTTTTTATTGTGACATAGCTTTTTTGGAATTTTACTGTATTGAGAAAAAAAAGTAGTAATTTTTATGTTGTAATACTGTACCTCTCATTTAATCTGTTTTTTAAAATAGATTATGTAACATTTTTAAATGTAATGCAATAAAACTGCACAATTGCAGTAATGAGGATCATTGTGATAAATGCGTATTATTTATTATTACTACTACTACTACAAATAATCGCACAACAAAAATTAAAACAAAAAATTAGCCATTAAAATTTCCTCAAAATATTTTGAAAAAGTATTTTCTTCCCCTACTTCTGACAAATCTCCTTGTATTCTGTACCATTTTTTTTTTTATATGTGACCCTGGAGCACAAAACCAGTCTCAAGTCGCTGGGGTATATTTGTAGCAATAGCCAACAATACACTGTATGGGTCAAAATTATTGATTTTTCTTTTATGCCAAAAATCATTAGGATATTAAGTAAAGATCATGTTCCATGAAGATATTTTGTAAATTTCCTACAGTAAATGTATCAAAACGTAATTTTTGATTAGTAATATGCATTGCTAAGAACTTAATTTGGACAACTTTGAAGGCGATATTCTCAATATTTTGATTTGTTTGCACACTCAGATTCCAGATTTCCAAATAGTTGCATCTCTGCCAAATATTATCCTATCCTAACAAACCACACATCAATGAAAAGCTTATTTATTCAGCTTTCATATGTATAAATCTCAATTTTGAAAAATTGACCCTTATGACTGGTTTTGTGGTCCAGGGTCACATATAAAAAAAAAGCCAACAGTGTTATAGGAGAACAGAGACAGAATAATAGAAAGACTGTGACAGAGAATAAAAGTACACTCACGGGTCCAGTTATGGCAGGACTCTGGAGGCGAGGGTCTTCCCACTGTGTTTTTTTGGTGTCTGAGGAGGAGAAGAGGAATTTTACAGGCCTTTATAAGCCTCACATTTTTATTGCTATTTGGTACAAATTAAATTTACAGAAAACCTTAAGTTTCAATGTGTAAACAAACTTTCAATGTGGTGGTTCTACATAAATCAGTGTACACACCACTAGAGGTCGTTTGTGAATGTGTGGAGCTGACAAACAGAACAGGTGTATATCGACCACAGCAGCAGACTCAGCAGTGCTTGAACACACCTGTGTTGTGATGGACACTGAGGACACGTCCGAGTTTAATGATGCATGAGAAAAATGATCTCACAACTTATGTTACCTTTAACATCTAAATAGTTATTGATCACACAGCACAGAATAAAGTTACTGAGACAAAACAACAAATAGGAACTTGAGAGCATATCTGTGAAGTGTAATCTGCATTACTGTATGTGTAAAACAGAAGGCAGGTGGATTACAGACAGCAAAACTATGCTGCATTTCAAGGCACCTCATTTTGGTCACATTGTAAAGCAGCGTAAAATAATTTCAAACGCCAAAATTGAATAAAAGCATCTGCCAAATGCATAAATGTAGCTTTCTACCCACTATTACAGTATGTTTAGAGTGACCTAAAGACCATCAAAATATAAAAAAAGTCTTATTGTTAAAAACTATTGTTATCAATTGCATAAAACTTAATTTTTTTTTATAATTATTTATGACTAGACCATATAAAGCAAAATTAAATGTAATTTGATCATATCAATTTTTGTTTGTCTTAAATGCTACTGTTCAAACGTTTGGGGTTAGAACGATTTTTTTTAAAGAAATTACTACTTTTATTCAGCAAGGATACACAACTGTTTTTTAACAATGATTAAATTGAGAAATGTTTCTTGAGCTCCAAATCAGCATATTAGAATGATGTCTGAAGGATCGTGTGACACTGAAGACTGGAGTAATGATGCTGAAAATTCAGCTTTGCATCATAAGAATCAATTACATTTTAAAATATATTCAAATTTATATTTAAGTTGTAATACTATTTCACAAAATTCCAGTTTACTTTTGATCAAATAAATGCGGCCTTGGAAAGCAGAAGAGACTAAAAAAAAAACATTTTAAAAACGTACAGACTCCAAACTTTTGAACGATAGTTTATGTATATTTTTTTAAGGATTTTGAATTTTGGTTAAAGTGGTGATCAGCTGCTAAATTGGTTTGAATTTTATTAAATTGAGAAATGTTTCTTGAGCTCCAAATCAGCATATTAGAATGATGTCTGAAGGATCGTGTGACACTGAAGACTGGAGTAATGATGCTGAAAATTCAGCTTTGCATCATAAGAATCAATTACATTTTAAAATATATTCAAATTTATATTTAAGTTGTAATACTATTTCACAAAATTCCAGTTTACTTTTGATCAAATAAATGCGGCCTTGGAAAGCAGAAGAGACTAAAAAAAAAAACATTTTAAAAACGTACAGACTCCAAACTTTTGAACGATAGTTTATGTATATTTTTTTAAGGATTTTGAATTTTGGTTAAAGTGGTGATCAGCTGCTAAATTGGTTTGAATTTAAAAAAAAAATGAATAGTAAAATAACATAAAATATCTTAAATAAAAATATATTTATTTGTGTTCCAAAGATGAACGGATGTCTTACGGGTTTGGAACGACATAAGGGTGAGTAATTAATGATATAATTTTCATTTTTGGGTGAACTATCCCTTTAATATGTGTGTTAAATATAATTTAAGCAATATTTTTGATAACTTAAAGGGATAGTTCACCCAAAAATGAAACCTGTATGAAATTCAAAAGAAGAATTTCTTTTGAAGAATGTGGGTAACCAAACACAGTTGATAGTCCCATTGACTTAGTATTTTATTTCCCCATAATATGGAAGTCAATGGGGACCAGCAACTGTTTAGTTACCAACATTCTTCAAAATGTCTTCTTTTGTGTTCAACAGAAGAAGAAAAAATCATGCCGGTTTAAAACAACTCGAGGGTGAATAAATGATGACAACTTACATTTTTGGGTGAACTATCCCTTTAAGTTAATGTTAATTTAAATACGGTTTCACTCAAATATGTCTGCTGCTTATTGTGTCAGTAAATGAGTGTCCTTACTATGGTCGATGTAAAAGGTTCTTCCGTCTGCGTGCACTCGTTCCTCCCACCCAGGCTGCGGAGATTCAGAGAGAGAAAAAAACATTAAGATCAGACGAAACCACCAGACCTGATACACCAACACAACAACTGTAACGGATAATGTGACGGGAGGAAGAACAGAAAGATATGACGATTCCTCGGTTCAGTGTGGGAGAGCTTCCACGACAGGGTTCCACTGGCATGCAGAAGAGACCTCGTTTATTCACTCTCACCCTGACAAACACGCACTCGCATTCACATACTGCCCCTCTTTTAAGAGCGGAGATCCCCCCCGAGACCTGCAAACCCACATCGATACCAACATCACAAGAAACTGCCAGGCCTGACGAAAATCACAGCCAACAATTCATAACCCACGACATTAAGGGAAGCTGTTTGACAACCCACACACGGGATCCGGAGAGGGGACAAAACCTTCGTTCACGACTGAGAGACTGTGAGCCAGCACTGAAGACAAGCGCTCTCGTGCTGAACGGGCATCAACCAAAAACTGGCATCGAATGAAGCACAGGATGGACACTGTGCAGTGGTGGAGGATGCAGAGAAGAGGATGGCTGGATGGATGGATGGAGAAATGATAACCAACATAACCAGATACGAGATACGTGCAGGGAAAAATATAAAGAGAGAAAGACCCAGGACAAACAGAGCTTAATAGAAGGGTTCTGGAAGTAAAAATCCCATTCAAAATATCCAGTTAAGATAATGTACACAAACACTCAAAACACACATACCAAGAGTTCTGGGAGTTTAAAGTGATGGCATATGCTAATGTTAATGCTACAGTAATATTTGGTGGATCACAACCCAAAACCCTATATTTTGTTGGAAATTCGGCTGACACTTATTCAATATTTGGCCTGGTTTTTAAACCATGTGCAGATAAATCCTACTGTTTATGCATTTACAAACCTGTAATTTCTCCTAATCAGACAGTATAATTTTAATAATTTTGCATATTTGATAAAAATTTAATTAAATTAAAATATCCACTGTGTACGGTCACTGGTATCAGCTGAGAATCACTGCTTTAATCAGATTTAAAAAAAATTGAGATCCCTATCAAGAAAATGAATGGAAAAAATACTTCTGGAACCAAGACTGCTTAAAAGTAGGCAGTCAGTATCGAGCTCTATCACTGAAAGCACTGAACAAAAACCAAAAGAGAAATCAGAACAAGAAAGAAAAAAACCCCAACAACAACAACGAAGACTGACAATAAAAGAGTAAACGCGGGAGTAAAACAGAAAGGGAAAAAGAAGGACAGTCATCCATGCCAGCAAGGATAAGAAAGGTGGCGAGGTCAGAGGGCGGACAGGCTGGTGGGCAGGCAGATAGGCAGGTAAACACGCAGGCAGAGAGAGGACCGACCTCCTCTGGAAGATTCTGCCACAAACAGCATCAAGCGTAGAGCGAACCATGTTCCCCCACGCCACCGAAAGAGAAATCACACACACACACACACGCCACCAGCTTGTGAGACAGAACTGCAATCAATGCAGTGGGAATCATTTATATAGGGTTTAAAAAAGAAGAAAAACCAGTGTTGTTATTGGTAACTAAAGCTATTAACATCAATTTAAAATGAAGATCAAATCAAATAAAAAATAAATGTTTAAGTTTAAATATATAATCAAATATGACAAAGCACATAACATAATTACTAATTTATGTATAAATTATGTATAAATTTAAATGGAAAAAATAAATCCAATTCAAAATATTAATACTATATTAGCATATAAATAATACTAAAAAAAGACCTCAGGAATGTACTAGTTGATGGACGAATGACGGAAAAGTATATTCTTAGATATTTGATATAAAAATCAATGATTTGGAGTCATATGACTTGTTACTTATAACTAATATATTTGCATATATTAATGTACTTTTAATTTACTTGCATGTGCATGGCATTTTCAACATTACATGAAAACAGGCATGAAAATAGATGTTTATTAGATAAGTCCCTGTTTCCTGGCACGTATTTCCACTGAAAACCTGAGAAGAGAAGGTGTGATTACCAAACACCGGCATATACGTATTTCTGCTAGGTGGGGAAAAATCACATCATGTGAGATGCATATTGCATCAACTCTTGCTTAAAGACGAGTCAAAAACCAAACTGTTCTCAAACACATACGAAATGATAAAAAAAAGCTTGTGAACACACTGGAGATCATTTGTGCTACCAGGGATGCATTGTTCCTTGGGTTCAAAAATTTATTACATTTTTTATTTACTGCTCATAAATATAAATAGTGCTTTAAAACACATTTTTGCCGATATATATACAGGATTATTTATTATTTATAGTATTTATGGGAATATTTAGAATATCTTTGAGGTTCTTGTGATGAGGCAGACTCTGAAATGAGGTGACAACACAAAACATCATTTCACTTCTCATATTTCCATTGATATTGGCTTAATGCGAGTAAAGTTTCATGTTACCACATGGAGTTCTGAAGAAAAAAAAAGTTTGCTACACAAGTCACAACAGCTTTTCTTTAGGAAACCCTTTTATATCTGAATAGAATCTGCTGTTATTTAAATTGTATTGAGTTGCATTTCCTTATAAAGTTAACGAGCAACTCGCGAGCGTTGCATTTACTTGCCAAAGGCAATTTTGGCGCTTATCAAGTGTTCATTTTGGACTAGATTTCAGTACTGTTCTTGGCCAAACAGCATTCTAGCTAAACAAAAAATACATGATCTCAGATGAGCTAATCCACTGTCAAAATTTCATAGCATTGTTCTTTTACAAAACAGCTTGAGGATGTAGTCCATCAACAAAGAAATCCACAAAACACCACAGCCAAATTCCTGCTGTTGTGTCATTAGTTACGGTTTTCCCATTCAATTGTCAGACTTAATCCTATTTTTTGCTTTGCAGATTGAATTAGTTTCGCGATTCTCGTAAGATATCACTGTTGCTTTCATGATTCTGCATCGCTGTGTCACAACACAAGGACACATGTCACACCAGGCTGTTGGAAGAGCTCAGATTGTGGGTAATATTGCTCAGCGGCACTCTTTTAGCACTCACTGGAAGTGGGCCGAGGTCGCCAGGGTCCAGGGATGCTTTTGTCCTCATGTGAACGGGATACTTTAAGCGAGGATCTTCCTGAAAAGAGAAAAAGAGAGAGGTTGACACATGCTCAGGTTTTCCCAGAAGGTTTTATCCTCATTTAGCAGTAAATTGCATTCGCTGTCTGCTGCCAAAATGCAGTTCTTAAGACAATAAGGAAGTAATACTGGAATGACTGCGTTTCTTTCTCGCCTCATGGGGAGATTATGCAGTAATTACACATAGTGATCTTTTTAGTTTTCTCGGTGGACATTTCAAAACCACTAGTAGGATTTAATAAAGACATACTTTGTAAACCACAACGTACTATTTTAAGCAATCGTGCAAAGAAGAGAAAATCAATTTGTTTTCATTTTAAATCTGTCCAATTACACAGAACCTCTAAAGAGGATGCAATACATTTGACACAAAAGGACATTGGCCAGTCTGTGCTGGGGGAAATTAGGGCACTGGAGAGAAGCTGCAGTTCCTCTGTCAGACACCAGGTGGCAGACTGATTCTGAGCGTATCAGGTTTGCATCACCCGGGGCCTCCCTCCAGCTATGGGGCACTGAAGTGTGCAATTGTGAACAAGACTGTGTGTTTGTGTGTGCGTATCTGTGAAAGTCTTTTTCCCCCAAATACCTTTCACGCATCTTAACGTAGGCAAAAGTGAAACATTAAAAATATCAGATCTTACTTTTCCGTAGTGGTTGCATACAGAAACAGCAACCACTAAATTTATTATTATTATTCTTTGTTTTTATTATTATTATTATTTTAATAAATTAGCAGTTTGTATTGGAGACCGTAGTATTTTGTTATTGGAGACTGTGTGTTATTTTAGTATAAATTATATACTTTATATTTTATATTTATTTAATTTATATTTTGTTAATGTTTTAATGTTTTTTAATGTTAATGAATTATGTTTATTTTTGTGTATATTATTTATTTCTATATTTATTATATAATATTTCAATAAATATATATATATATATATATGTAGTATTTTTAAGATGTATAATACATTTTGTATTATATAATATTATACATATTTTTAAATCAGGAAGATTTCTTGGTTAGTACTTAGTACTTTCAGCAGACATATTAACATATACATATTTTTTTTGATAGTACTTTCAACATACATATTTTATTTCAGCTAGTTGCCAAAGTAATTCTAATTTATTATTCATTTAAATATAAAATATTATTTCTTTATGTTTATTTATATTTTATTTTATTTCAAGTAATAAGAGTAATAAACAAATGCTTAATGATGAGATATAAATAGATAGCAGTGATCACAGCTGCAAATAAACCACAGTTATGTCAGCAAATGGAACTGTAGATCTGCTGCAGCATCACAAACCATACATGACTACAAAACTTGACTATGACTGCACATATGACTACCATGATTACAACAGGGGTTGTCATTACCGTGCTACTAAGCGTGATTTTAATTAGGTAGAGCTATAAACATATTGTATAGTGAACATTTCATTTTTTTCACTCATGGCCATCTTGCATTTTTTTTCCTTGGAGGTCATTACAAAGCATTCTGGGATTGCCCTTCCTATGAACTTAACTAGTTTTGGGTGAGATTTTGTGAGTGTTTGTCTTACCCATGTGGTGATTCTGCTGTTGTGGTCGATGAAGAACGGCCGTCCATTGGGTGCTATTCTCATTTCCCATCCAGGGGGCAGGAAGCTCTGGTTTGCTTTATGCTGGGATTTGGGTGAGCTGTAGGGAGAAGGCTGCGGGGACTGAGGGTTGGAAAACGTGTCCTTTACGGCTCGCCGTATCTGGGCGTTATTGGCTCCCTGCAAAAGGAAACAGAGCCAACGTTAATTATTTCCCTGTTTGCCAGACTATTATTTTCTTATACTGCTTTTGTGTATAATTCATTAGAATTTTGTGTAAGAAAGACTTTTACGAATGGGATGTGTCAAAAAACTGAAAAGATTTGGAAAGCACAGTACGTGCTAATGAGGCGACACGCTGTTATTTAATCCTGCTAAAATTTTAATTAGCACACAACTCAGGAGGATTTCACTTCCATTTCACCTCTGGATGTCTTTCTCTCCCTCTCGTTTTTCTTCTTTTTTTTTTCCAAAAACAAATGTTTCCCTTTCAACACTGTAATTAAAATTTGCATGGCCCTGTGCAACCCTGATCATTTATAAATACAACCTAGTACTTCTTTATGCAAACTTTCAAACCTTTGTGAAATGTTTACTCAATATTCTACACTGACATCAGATGCAGAAAATGTAGCACCTGTCATGTAAGAATCAGAATCCGAATCAGAAAGAGCTTTATTGCCAAGTATGTTTGCACATACAAGGAATTTGTTATAGTGTCACAAGCTACCAGTACACTGAGACAACAACAACACACAGATAATAAAAGTGAGATGTGAATTAGTCATAATTGCTTATCTGATGAATAAATTCTGGGTATTCTTTCCTTCTGAAAGCTAAACCAACAAAGGCAATAAGATGAGAATAAGGAATACGACTGTGTTCCCAGAGTGTTAATAACACCGAACATGAATTACAAAGAACCAGCTCTTAACTTTATGCCAAAGCCTTTCAAAATTTAGATAATGTAACTTAAAATTAGATATTTTTATATTACTTTCCAAGCGAGCGCTTTACAGAAATCCCTCAAACTTGATTTTATTCTTCTTCACACTTCTCAGCAACTAATGTAGCTCCTAACTTAACGCTCAAACTTTTGTGAATCATTTTAGCCATATTATCTTGTTTTACAACTTTATACATGCATGTAAGATAATTTGTAAAAACAGCAATTCCACAAGTCTACAGCAGCAGCATAAATAATATTATAATATCTAAAATATTATACAATCATAAATGGTAGAGGAATATTATATTATATTAAAAACAAACAGCTTCATAAATAATATTTTAACATCTTAAATATATTATCATTGATAATAGAGAAAAAATATTATATTATTATAAATAACACTAGATAAAATATTCAATTTTATTCTATAAAAAAAATCAAATATAAAATCTCAAGTCACAAAACAGCAATTCCACAAGTCTACAGCAGCAGCATGAATAATATTATAATATATAAAATATCATATGATCCTTAACAACAAATATAGGATTATTATTATAAATAATACATACATCATATCTAAAATAATATATTATATAAAAACAAATCCATAACCATTAATCTACAGCATCATAAACAATAGTATAATAAAAAAAACATTATAATATCATTTAAATAAATAGAAGAATATTATTTTATTATTATTATGAACAGCATTATATTATATTACATTACATTACATTCACTATAGTCAATATATATCAAGTTGTACGATATAATGTCAAATGCATAACATCTTATTGGTGAAAAGCAATTGTCAAGATTTTTTTCCCCTGTTCGAAGATAAAAAATAAAAAGATACATATTTCATTTGATTTCACTACTTGCTTTCTGCACAGTAAAAATTGCCCTTCTGTGACAATATCGGCAAAGTGTTTTATGTTTCAAGTAGCGAGTGATGCTTCGGTTAAGAGATGTGCTGAAACTGTAGTTTTGTTTAAAATATCGAGCTCAAGCTATATGACAGAAAGAATCAAGAGGGACAGAAGAGGGATTTTAATCGATACCACACCCCATGCCTTTTTTGTCAGCTATCATGTTTTTTTACACAGAAATTTGTGGCTGTAATTAGCAATAATTGCTATGAGAGCAAACACAAGACATTTATTCCCCAACATCTGCAGATTAGCCACAAGAGCTATTGTTTATTCCATTAGCAGACATTCTTCACAGCGGAAGCCATTAGCTCTGGCTGAGGCCCATCATCGCAGATAAAATTGTTTGCCATTTTCAAAGGAATATTCTAGATTAAATTATGATTTGAGCTCTATAAACACCATATGTGGCCTGTTTTCGATTACCACTGGAAATAATTGCGATACGTTTATAAAAACAAACCGTAAAACAGCACTTACACAAGTCCAAAGCATCACAAACAAATAACATAATATCTATAAAATTAATTTAATTAAATTATTAAATTAAATTTAAACATGTCATAACATTAATTGAAAGCATGTTATTAGAAAGTTTAGAAGGTATTTTTCAGAACAATGTACTATAAAAGCAAAATAAGAAGTAGGTTTAAGGTCAGACATGGATTTAGAGCAAGAGAACAGAAGGAAACTATGAAGTCATGGCTGTTTGAGAGGTTAAACTTCTTTTTGGCAATGGTGACACCTTGGCGCGTTTCACGATAAGCAAACGGACAGCTGCCCCAACCCAAGTCTTAGGTAGTGTCAGCTGATACGAATTTACAAAGTGGGTGTAGAAGTCCTGTTCCTTCCACGCAAAAGTAAATGTCAATGAGTACATTAAAACTTGATACACACAGCAGCTGCTCAATTCATCATGAATAAGGACTAAACTTCTGAAAGTCTGTGGGACGATTACAAATACAGTACATGTCAGTAACCTGTTCTTTAAAGATTTTTATAGTCAGTCACATCTTAGGAGGCATAACCAAATTAAATAAATAAATAAAAATACAAAATTGCCATTCTGACAGTATATAATGGGCTGTGGAAAATATCTTTACATTCTCCTTAATTAAATATTTACACAAATCTATCCTTTCATCATTGAAATAAAACTAAATTAAAAAAAGTGAAATAAATAAAAAGTTCTCCAAAACATATGCCAAATTATTGGGACACCTATAAGTTCTCATGATTGAACTATTTAAATATTGCATGGTTGAAATGATATGAAAGACAAAAATTTGCATATATATGCAGGAACTTGCCTGACCAAGAAAGCCAATATACATTTTAACAGTTATTATGCAAAATAGCTGACCTCAGAATGCCACAATGTGCAAGATAATATTTGAATATCAATATCTGGGTAGTAGACATTATCTTTCCTCGAAGTATCTCATGTTAACTACCCATTTACTTCATATATCAGACACTCTGCTTTCCAGAAATCAACCACAAAAAGAAAATTGGGCTGGGCAAGTTAACGCATTATTGCGGCGTTAAGGCATCAATTAATTAACGCAGACAATTATTTTAACACACTTTTAACGCAGTTTTTTAAGAAGTCATGGCTGTTTGAGAGGTTAAACTTCTTTTTGGCAATGGTGACACCTTGGCGCGTTTCACGATAAGCAAACGGACAGCTGCCCCAACCCAAGTCTTAGGTAGTGTCAGCTGATACGAATTTACAAAGTGGGTGTAGAAGTCCTGTTCCTTCCACGCAAAAGTAAATGTCAATGAGTACATTAAAACTTGATACACACAGCAGCTGCTCAATTCATCATGAATAAGGACTAAACTTCTGAAAGTCTGTGGGACGATTACAAATACAGTACATGTCAGTAACCTGTTCTTTAAAGATTTTTATAGTCAGTCACATCTTAGGAGGCATAACCAAATTAAATAAATAAAAAAAAATACAAAATTGCCATTCTGACAGTATATAATGGGCTGTGGAAAATATCTTTACATTCTCCTTAATTAAATATTTACACAAATCTATCCTTTCATCATTGAAATAAAACTAAATTAAAAAAGTGAAATAAATAAAAAGTTCTCCAAAACATATGCCAAATTATTGGGACACCTATAAGTTCTCATGATTGAACTATTTAAATATTGCATGGTTGAAATGATATGAAAGACAAAAATTTGCATATATATGCAGGAACTTGCCTGACCAAGAAAGCCAATATACATTTTAACAGTTATTATGCAAAATACCTGACCTCAGAATGCCACAATGTGCAAGATAATATTTGAATATCAATATCTGGGTAGTAGACATTATCTTTCCCCGAAGTATCTCATGTTAACTATCCATTTACTTCATATATCAGACACTCTGCTTTCCAGAAATCAACCACTGCCACAACTGTGAAATACTTATTATATATAAAAAAAGAAAATTGGGCTGGGCAAGTTAACGCATTATTGCGGCGTTAAGGCATTAATTAATTAACGCAGACAATTATTTTAACACACTTTTAACACAGTTTTTTATTATTATGAAAGTCCGTTGCTCACTGGCTCTGAATACACATACAGACAAACCATGGGTCACAAGAGGGGTGGGATGTTGATCAGTACTGGCTTGGGATGGGTGTCACCACGCGTCTCAACCAATGAGAGCATTTGGGGAGGGCATAAGACTGCAGCAGCGCTCGCATGAAGCGCTCACGACTTCATAAGTGGGAAATAGGAAGTTTCAAACCGCCTAGTGTGATACACCCTTATTCTCCTGCATCCCGCACACACGAGTCTCTACCCACACACACCCGCACTTGCCCATCAAGTGTTGTCCCGCGATAGTGCAGGTCTCTACTTGGAAGGTGCCTGTTATAATGTTACGATTGAGGCTCTGGACTCTGAGCATAACTTGTTTTTCTATAACAAACTATAAAATATTTTCTATAAAAACGTTAATGCCCTGGCAGTGGCAAATGGCTTTGGTTTTATATTTAATTTGATTACATTAATGTCATAAATTGAGATTTACAAGAAATATTTAACTGCTACTATGTAAAAGGAATGCCACTGTAAAAAAGCACCTTATTTGTTTAAAGTGTTTGCAAACCAAATGTTATTGCACTTTTGTTCATATAGCAGTATTTTTAAATGAAAAAAGTGCACAATACACTATTTTTGCGATAATGCTATTAATCGCAATTAATAGGTAGTTTGCACATGACGTCACTGATGACGCACGCAATGCAGCTGGAGGGCAGGAAGTGATTTTTCTCTCCATAGGAATCACTAGCAGAAACTCAAAATGCCAGTGTTTTGCGTTGTTTATGGATGCTCAAATTGGCCAAACCGAGAAACTACAAGAAGCTTTTATCGTGTACGAAAAGGTGTTGTTCATAAGTGGGGCAAAGCCAAGAAATTGATTGAAAAACGCAGGAAAAAGTGGCTTGTAAACCTGTGTCTGCAGTCGGGAGGAGCGAAGCTCGTGCGTGCAAATGGTTATTATAGGATATAATAATATATTAAGATATTTATAAAGATATAAATAGATTGGGCTGCCACCTCTCACGCATTGTGACAGTCAGAATTCACTCAGTGCTAAACGCCACACGTAGACACGATGTAAATAAGATATTATTTGCAGTTCAGAGAGCTTCACTGATTATAAAGGAACATCGTGAGATTGTGATCAATTGAAGTGA